GTGTGTGTGTGTACGCACACGTGTGTGTTCCACATACAAGGTTGTTTTTGGTGACAAAGATTGGGAATTGATTGTCCACATAGCAAGATTCTAAACAGTCTGAAAGAAGACTGGGGTTTCTTTATGGAAAAAAATGAAGATTTATTGTGAAGTAGAAAATCATAGTGTGGGAGTATGTAGTATGCTACCATTTGTGTATAAATAAGGGGGTAAGTGTGCGTGTCCATACGTATGTGAGTGTACCTGTCTGTGGGTACATAAAGTAGTCCTGGAGGTATGAAAAGATTTGTTCACGTTGTCTCAGAGAGGGGAGCAAGGTTGGGGGGGGTCTATTTTGAAATTTTTATACCTTTGGAATATAACCCATGTGAATATATTACCTATTCAAAAAATAAGTATTCTGTTAACTTTAAAAAAAAATATGTGCAATGACCACACATAAAAGGAGAAAGTATTTGTGCTTTTTTTTTGCAAAGTTTTTTTTTTTTTTAAGATTTATTTATTTGAGAGAGCGAGAGAGAGAAATGGAGAAGGGGGAACAGCAGAGGGAGAGAGAGAAGCAGACACCCCACTGAGCAGGGAGCCTGACTTGGGGCTTGATCCCGGGCTCTGGGATCATGACTTGAGCTGAAGGCAGACACTTAACTGACTGAGCCATTCAGGCGCCCCTGCAAAGTTTTTTTTAAATGAAATTTAGCTGTGGGAGTTTCCTCTTTTTAGAAGCTGTGAATAAGTGGAATAATCACAGTGCTTCCTTAACATGGTAATAAAAGCTGTTGTCATACATTATGTTATTGAAATGGTGATTTTTATATTCCAAATAAATTAGTAGGTATTGAAATTTTTCAAGATAAAAATAAGGTGTGTGTATTTTGAGCTTGAAGTTGTTGTAATCCATCTCATTTAAAAGATACTTTTGTAACTGTTTAATTCTGTGGGAAGTAAGAGTAGTATATTCAGGACCCAGGTTCTCTTAGGTCTTCTCTTAGGTGATTCCTGTTCTATCAACAACAGGATGAGATGGAAGCGATGAAGTACTGAGTTTTAGAGCGCTAGTATGTTTGGAATATTTACAGTTAGCAAATTGGTCTTTTTAACAAACATACTGCAGCATGACTGTTTATCGTTCAGGCCGCTATGGAGCCATGCACAGAGATGGGTGCCCCCCAGCTGCATCGTGCAGTGCAGACCTATGGCTTTTGAGAGGGGACGAGGCCTCTGGGTGCCCTGGTACCTGACGTGATAGGCCATGCTTCCCTTTCTCTAGGCCCAGCGCTTTACTTTGTCATTTGTGTGTGGCATTTGCCTTTAGTTTTATTTTTCCTTTTATTATCATAGTAACTGTGATATGTTACTTTTTACTTGTTATTTAGCTCGGGTGAAAAGAACCGACCTGGACAAAGCGAGGACTTTTGTTGGGACGTGCCCAGATATGTGTCCTGAAAAGGAGCGGTACATGCGGGAGACCCGGAGCCAGCTGAGCGTGTTTGAAGTGGTCCCAGGGACTGACCAGGTGGAGCCCCGTGTCCTCGTGGGGTTCCTCTCTAGGCCGCTGTCCGTAATTAATCTTCAGGGTGGAGGTGGTCTATAAAGGAGGGGGGGCTTATTCTTTTATAATTTTGGGACATATTGATACTTGATTTGGGCATTTACCTTTTTAGAGGGTGGCAGGGATTTAGAGGGTGGCTACTATTAACATTCATATTAAATTGTACTGTGAGGTGTGTACTAAATAGTCTTGTATAGGATAACTGGACCCCAAGGTACTCTAAGGTATAGCTGTAGACATAGATTTGTTTCATAGATTAAAAGTTTCTTTTCATTTCTGTTTTCTTTTCACAATTTTCTTCCTATCGTTTTCTGTGTTTGTGTTTTGCACGGTTGAGATGCTCTAGATGCAATTCTGAATGCTTTTCATTTAAAATAGTATCAAATTTTCTTTTCTGATAAACTCTGTCAGCATTTTTTAAATGACAGCCTATTATTTGATTAGGTAGCTCTGTCAAAACTTACCATTTTGCAATCACTAGATATTTAAATTTCATTAATAATTCTGTTGGGCGTATTGTGTATAACAAGTCTAAGGTATGTAGATTATTTCCTTTTGATAGATCCTAAGAATTAAGTTACTGCATCAAAGGGTGTGACCTTTTTCAGGTTCCTGAACATGTGTGTGCCAATGCATATTCCCAATTGTTCCCTGGGAAATCTGCATCATTTTAGATCCTTTTTCCTCTTTGTTAATTTTGCTTATGGACTTCTCTCTTGGTTGGTGGGGGTTTTTTGTTGTTATTGGTTTTTTTAAAGATCTTATTTTTAACTAACGTCTATACCCAACGTGGGGCTTGAACTTATAACCCTTAGATCGACAGTCACATGCTCCATGGATTGAGCCAGCTGAGTGCCCCTTGGGTGGTGGTTTTAAGTTGCCCTTGCCCAATGTGGGGTCCCCAGCTGGGCAGGAGTGTCACAGCAGAGGCTCCTGCCTTAGGAGACGGTCATGCTGGCTTACAGTGGAGGCCCAGGGCTCAGTCCTGTGGACGTCTGGTCTTCTGCCCTTGGCCACATGTCTTCAGCCTCCTTTTGCAGGTGGGACAGCTCCAGGCCTATGCCCTGCGAGGCTCCTGCTGCTGTCTCCATTTCCTTTGTAGTCTGTGTGGCCTTAACTTCGGTGTTTGAGTGTGGCTGAGGTCTGTTACAGTGCTTCAGAGTCCTTTACCTGTCACACCTCTGCCCTTGGAACCGTGCAGGTATAGCTCTGCTTACATTCCTTCTTCTTTTTTTTAATTTTTAAGTTATCTCTGCACCCGGTGTGGGGCTGGAACTCACAACCCTGAGATCAAGAGTTTCACACTCCACTGACTGAGCCAGCCAGGCGCCCCCACTCATGTTACTTCTGCTTCTTTGTTCCTTGTTGTGTTTGCCAAAAACAAGTTTCTTGTTTGTTTTTGAATTTTGATCATTATCTTCAAACAAATTTTACATTTTAAAATTGTGTTCTGTAGTATTGATCTTGTATGAGTATGTGGGTGATTTTCCTCCTCGTTTTAAGGCACAGCTGTGGGGAGGCTGGCCCAGCACCTGACACCCGGCTCTTTGCCCCGACTGTGTGTCCCCAGGTGGACCATGCGGCCGCTGTGAAGGAGTACAGCCGCTCTTCCGCTGACCAGGAAGAGCCCCTCCCGCATGAGCTGCGGCCCTCAGCGGTGCTCAGCAGGACCATGGACTACTTGGTGACTCAGATCATGGACCAGAAGGAGGGCAGCCTGCGGGACTGGTATGACTTCGTGTGGAACCGCACACGGGGCATACGGAAGGTATCAGCCACTTCTGATCAGAAAATTAGAAAATGCATGTGAATCCCCAAGTTGAAGCAAGATTTCTTTTCATTTTACTCAGTTATATTTCATCTGTGTAAAAAAAAAAAAAAGCTGTTATTTAAAATCATTACAAAGTCCTGTTAAAATGTGCTTCATGGGCTTTGTTTGAAATTGACATACGAGAAATTCAGGTAATCACGATTCTTCTAATAGTTTGTTCCCAGTGCGTGGAAATACATGCGTGTAATCTGTGTGTATATAAGACATGTATATATGTAAGGGGTGTGTGTGTAATACTCCCTCTTGCTTGTGGCCAGGACATCACACAGCAGCACTTGTGTGACCCTGTGACGGTGTCCCTGATTGAGAAGTGTACCCGGTTCCATATCCATTGTGCCCACTTCATGTGTGAGGAGCCCATGTCCTCCTTTGATGCCAAGATCAATAATGAGAACATGACCAAGTGCCTTCAAAGTCTGAAGGAGATGTACCAGGACCTGAGAAACAAGGGTGTGTTCTGTGCCAGTGAAGCCGAGTTCCAGGGCTACAATGTTCTGCTCAATCTCAACAAGGGGGACATCCTAAGGTAAATTTTCAGATTTGGAAGCTAGCCTAAGCTATATGAAAAGGCAGGTTTTTTTTTTTTTAAAACTTTTTTTTTTGTATTTTTTAAAATTTTATTTATTTATTAGAGAGAGAGTGTGTATGCATGAGGGGCAGAGGGAGAGGGAGGAGCAGGGAGCCAGATGCGGGGCTCTCTTCTAGGACCTTGAGATCACAACCTGAGCCAAAGGCAGCCGCTTAACCTACTGAGCCACCGAGGTGCCCCCCCCTTTTTAAAAGATTTTATTTATTTAGAGAAAGCGTGCAAGTGGGGGGAGGGGCAGAGGGGAGAGAGAGAATCTCCAGCAGACTCCCCACTGAGTGGGGAGCCCAAATGGGGCTTGATCTCATGACCCTGAGATCACAACCTGAGCTGAAACCAAGAGTCAGATGCTTAACTGACTGAGCTACCCAGGAGCCCCGATAGGCATCTCTCTTGAGTGATTCAGTCAACTGTTTATTTACAAAGCAAAACAAAGTTAAATTTTGTTTTTTAGATGTCATCATCATCAAAAACAGCTGGCAGTCATTTGGCATTAAAGTAATTCTTTGATAATCAATTCTTAAATTGATTTTTGCTTAAATTTGTTTATTTACCATCTAGAGAGCACCGTTGTTCCCAATCCAGCTCAACAGCGGCAACTTTGAAGTTAGTAAACTGAGCAGAATGGCAGACGTCACCATTAAGTCCCTCTTTCTCAGTATGGTTAAAATTTAGTTTTTTTTTTTTTTAAATCACATCTATTTTCATGGACATTTTGTCTAATTAAAAATAAAATTGGGGGCGCCTGGGTGGCTCAGTCGATTAAGCATCTGACTCTCGATCTCAGCTTAGGTCTTGATCTCAGGGTTGTGAGTTCAAGCCCCCTGTTGGGCTCTGTGCTAGGCCTGGAGCCTACTTAAAAAAAAAAGGCAAAAACAAAAAAAATTCTAACGATTTTGTCTCCTTTAATTAACAGAGAAGTACAACAGTTCCATCCTGCTGTTAGAAATTCCTCTGAAGTGAAATTTGCTGTTCAGGCCTTTGCTGCATTGAACAGTAATAATTTTGTGAGATTTTTCAAACTGGTCCAATTGGCGTCTTATCTGAATGCTTGTCTTTTACACTGTTACTTTAATCAGGTGAGTAATGTAGCTATACTTGAAGAATTGGAAGAAACCAGATCGTTACTTTTGGTATTTAAGTGCTTTTCTATTCCAGGAACATTTTAGCAGGTCCCAGGCTAACTCTCGTAAGCATTGCACCCCCACCCCCTGAGGGTGTTGCCGCATTACCGTGTGTCACAGGGGCTGGCTCCATGGACCGCTGGTGGAAAAAGCTGTATGATGGAAAATACTATTGTTAGGTTTAGATCGGAGAAATCTCTTTAGAATAATATGACTTGAGTTCAGCACTATCATTTTCCTTGGAAACAAACCAAAAATCAAAAATTGCACATGCAAAGTCCCTGACTTAAAAATTCTTAAGTGTTATTAATCTGAATTTTTGGAGTGAACCTGATGATGCTGAATCCATTTCAATAAATATCTTAAGGGCCTACTCCTTGTTGAGTACTGTGCTGTACCTTGGGGTTTCAAACCTGGGGAAGACCCATGTCTTACCTGGTGCTTTACATAGGGTATGAATGCCTGGTCTCAGAATTCCCCAAGTCAGGTCTTCAGCCCTAGCCCCCTGACAGTGTATGCACTGTGCTGCCCCCCAGCTGCAAGGGGTCCTCTAGGTGGGGAGGAGGCCGCGGGGGTGAGGGTGTGTGGGGGGGCGCTCTTAGGACCTGGTCAGCTGGTTCTGTGACTCCAGGTTGTTTTTCTTCTTTGGTCACACATCAGGTCTTTTGGTAAACGGTGACTAAGCCCACGGTCATAGCCCAGGCAGAGGGTCTTCTTCAGGTGTGTTCATTGTGTCTTATAATTGCCAATAGCACTGAAATTCTGGAACAAATGAAAAGATTTTTAACAACGTGCCATTTGGGGAACTCAGGACATTCAATAAATAAAACCAATAGCTAATATTTTCAGAATGATTATGTGATGTTCTTAGAATGTTGGCTATTTGTGCCTGTTTTAATAACTTGAAACAAAAAAGACATCTAAGTGCTTTAGAGAAACGCAGTGTTTGACGTGGTCCCGTAGGCTTCCTTGCTCAGCTCCACCTGCTGTGATGCTTCCTGTCCCTCCAGCCCCAGCCCACTACTGCCTCAGGGCCTTTGCACTTGCTGTTCTCACTGCTGTTCTTTCTCCTCACAGAGCCATATGGTGCTCACCTTCTTCAGGTGTTGGCTTGGCTGCCACCTTCTCAGCAGAGCCCACCCTGCCTGCCTGCCCTCCTCTGCCTTCCTCTGGTGCACTGTCACTGTTAAATGTACTGTGTATTTCACAGGTTCAGTTTGTTCGTTGTTGGTCTCTCCCTAACACATCAGTTCTGGGGGCAGGGATTTTGCTTTGTTCATTGTTGCGTGCTGCACGTTAACAATGCCAGAAGAGAAGTAAATACTTGATAAATACTGTTGGAATTGAAGAACACTGCAAGAGGAAGCAAGGGTCACCGAGAGTCCTAGACCCACATAACATTTATCTGTTTTTCCTGTCTTCTTTTTTTAAAGTACTTGTTATGAATTTCATGCCATTTATGCATTTTTTCATGGCACTTTATCATCTCTGTGATAATTTTTAGTGCCACAGAGCTTTTTGTCAAGTGGATAGTGCACAGTTGACCTTCCACATGCTCTGCTGATGGATGACTTGTCTTCTAGGGTTTCTTGTGTGTGTGTGTGTGTGTGTGTGTGTGTGTTTTAGATTTTATTTGTCAGAGAGAGCGTGCGTGCACACACAAGCTGGGGAAGTGGCAGGCAGAGGGAGAAGCAGGCTCCCCGCTGAGCAAGGAGCCTGATGTGGGGACCCCGGGATCATGACCTGAGCCGAAGGCAGACGCTTAACCGACTGAGCCACCCAGGCGTCCCTAACCGTTCCTGTGTATGACTGTTTCACATGCATTTCTGGGCATCTTCTGCTGAGCAAATCCCCTGGTGATTGCTAAGCTTGGGCCTCTTAGTACCAGATTGCTTTCCAGAGGGACTGAGCAGTAGCAGGACCCTGTCCCCCACGGTGGCATTTTGTGGTCACGGAATGACTGGCTCCTTAACACTGCAGTGATTTAGCTTCTCTCTTCAGATCCGCAAAGATGCTCTCCGAGCGCTCAACATCGCGTACACTGTGAGCACGCAACGCTCCACTGTCTTTCCCCTGGATGGCGTGGTGCGCATGCTGCTGTTCAGAGACTGTGACGAGGCCACAGACTTCCTGAACTACTATGGTCTCACTGTCTCTGATGGGTAAGAACAGAGGGTGGCTGTGGGACCTCTCTTTTTTTTTTTTTTCTCTCTTTTAATTCTGATAAAGGGCTGGGAAGTACAGCTACGTGCCAGGCCCCAGAGAGGGCCCATTCTGCATGCTGCCTCCCTGGGGTGCAGGTGAACACAGCAAGGCTCAGAATGGCTGGGGAGCATCCCCAGATCAGACACTGCTCGTTAGCAGATTGGCGTTCAGACCTATTTCTTTGCAATTCTAAAATCAGTGCTTTTCACAAGATACTGAAGAAATTAAAGGTAAAGGTTAGGGTCTTCCTTATTCTTTCTCTCAAAGATGACTTCTGCTGGCCAGTGACTACCACTGCCGACCTGTGGTGGCCCAGACTGGCACTGGTGGGCCAGGCCAGGGGCTTCTGTGCTGCTTGGAGTCAGTGTTTTAAGAACCTGATGAAACTCATGGACCCTCTCCCCGTAAATGGCAGCATAACGTGCGCCATGTCTTGTTCCAAGTTGCTGTTTCTTTAGCCCTTCCCTCCTCTTCACTCCTCATTGCCAGCCCCTTCCTGTCTGCTTCCTGCAGGCCTGTCCTCACAGAGACATGCAGCTTTGGAATGAGATAGGAGCATGCGGGTGTGTGCTGTTCCACGTAGGGCTGTGTACAAGTAGGCCAGGAGGCTCCCATGTCACAGGGCAACGTCCAGGCTGGCAGCTGTGGGTACTGTGGGCTGGGACACCAGATCAGCCTTTACTGCCTCCCTCTTCATTTACATGTGGTTGTGGGGTGATCTAGTGACGGGCACAGGGCTTCCAGCATTGCTGCTGGGCGCTGAGAAGGTGACGGTTGGCTTCTCACCTGTGTAACGCTTCTCTGGGTTCTCTGTGGTCTGGGTATAGCTGTGTCGAGCTGAACCGGTCCTCGTTCCTGGAACCAGAGGGCTTATCCAAGGCCAGGAAGTCGGTGTTTATTACCAGGAAGCTGACTGTGTCGGTTGGGGAGATTGTGAATGGAGGGCCATTGCCCCCCATCCCTCGTCATACTCCCGTGTGCAGCTTCAACTCCCAGAACAAGTACATTGGGGAGAGCCTGGCTGCAGAGCTACCTGTGGGCACCCAGAGACCCAGCTCGGACACAGTAGGTGAGAAGCTGCAGTTGCATGAGGGAAGTAGCATTGCCCCTCCAGAGAGCCTCTCTGGAGGTAGGAGCATCTGTTTTATTTTGTGGATGGGGGTGGGGCAGGTGGGTATTGGCTCAGTGCTCAGATATTTCTCCCCTCTCAAGAATGGCCTGAATGGCTCTTTGATGTCACGGTGCTTGGTTCCCACTGGTGAAGCACACACTGTCCCCTGTGACATTGCTCGGGAGGGTAGCCAGCCCTTAGGGTCACTGTGGGTGCCCGGGGCTTGTCTTAAGTGCCTGCACTTGCCTGTTCCCTTCCAGGTGGGGGGAAAGGAGAGGCATGTGAGGCAGAGGCAGATGGACCGCCGCCCGCTCTCCTCCAGCAGCCTCTTCCCACCCCTGCACCCACACCAGCTTCTCTGCCTCACCTCCCAGCACTGACCCCGAGCACAGCGCCTAGCCTCTTCCAGCCCCCTGTGCAGCCCGAATTGCTTCCTCCAAGGCCTGTACCTTTGTACTCTGATGCGGTAAGGAATCTTCCAGGTTAGGCTCGGAGGAGCCCGTGGTACAAGTGTCACCAGAGTGTCTGACGTCCAGTCTGACTGTTGTCTGTAGATCGAACCCACAGAGATGGTTGAGTGTGTGGCTCTAAAATGTTCTGAGTGCCAGCTGGGGCGGGTCTCAGGACCCTGGCTGTGGAGGCTTAAGCCTTTGTCTTTCTGACAAGGTGCCTGGGGCTCCGAGCTTAGGGCTGCACCAGGCCACCTAGCTTGTTGCCTGTGTCTGCTTGAAAGGGCCACAGCTCAGACTTTGGAGAAGGCGTGGCAGGGTTTTTGTGGCTATAACGTGAGGGCTGAAGGAAGTCCTGTCTTGCACTGAGGGCTCTGCAGACACGTGGGTCTCTGTGGACCACCCTCTGCCCTATGGATTGGGCTGTGTTGCCTGGTCTCCCACGAGAGGTCCAGGGAGAGGCCCTGCCTGCAGCCCTTCAACTGCGGGTGGCAGAGCTGGGGCTGACCCCGCAGGCTCAGTGCAGAGCCGCCATCTTTGTCACGGTCGTCAGGACAGCACTTCATTGCTTCCTGTCCCAGTGCCATCTTGCACCCCTGACTTTCTGCTCTGAGTGATACTCAACACTGCTCACTTGAGAGAGCCAGTAGACGTGTTGACTAGGGACATGTGGGGCCCCAGGCAGCACTGTGTGCCCTCCGATGGGGTTGAACAAGGCCTGTCTACCACATAGGTTGTGGGATTGGGCTCGCCAACCCTGTTGCTTGGGCCGGTGCTGGGGCGTTAAGGGAGGCCTGAGAGGATCGTGAGAATGGCTAGAGAAGCTGACCGTGTTGGATGTGGTGCGGGGGGCGGCATGGAAGGGTGTTGAGCAGGCAGCAGGCTTGCCCTGTTCTTTCATGAAGGCTTCTCTCCGTTCATTAGCGGGAAACCTTTCCAGAAGCAGCATAGCTGATTCCCAGATTCCCTCAGACAAGTGTCCACTGATGAGGTTGTGAAGGGATGTTTTTGCCCTGGGGCGGGGGGATGCTCCGTGACACCATCTCCAAAGTTCTCACCCTCCGTGAAGGTTTTCAGTACCCTTAGGCTGTAGGGCTAGATTGTTTGGTTTTAAGCTCAGTTTGGATTGAGGCAGTATTTCTCACTGCTGGCGCTGTGACCCCGATCTGTCCTCTCCTTAGGACCTGGCTCAGGTAGTAGATGAGCTCATCCAGGAGGTTCTTCAGAGGGACTGTGAGGAGGTTGGTGCCGCTGGGGCGGCCTTCGCAAATACAGCTCTGGGGTAAGTGCAGTGCCCTACCTGCTGTGAAGCTGTTTGCTCCCTGGGGCCGTTCCCCATCCCTCCGTGTTTCTTCTTAGAGAGCTGCTCTCAGTCTTGGACAGGAGGCTGCAGCTGCCCATTTGTACAGGCTTAACTGTTGGTCCTGTCCTCTAGGTGGGTATGATTGTGTCGTGTTCCTGACCTTCTCTTTGTCATTGGCATGAAGTTTCTGTTTGTGTGTGCTTTTTTTTTTTTAAAGATTTTATTTATTTATTTGAGAGAGCGAGAATGAGAGAGAGAGCACATGAGAGGGGGGAGGGTCAGAGGGCGAAGCAGACTCCCCGCTGTGCAGGGAGCCCGATGCGGGACTCGATCCCAGGACTCCAGGATCACGACCTGAGCCGAAGGCAGTCGCTTAGCCAACTGAGCCACCCAGGCGCCCTATTTGTGCTTTTTGAGCAATGTTAGGTTTATTAAAGTTGTAAATTAAAAACATGTTTTTCCTTAAACTTTGAACATGCCTTTAAAATATGGTAAAGTATAAAAATTTGTTTATTCTCTTAAAAATCAAAAACACTTTATGTGATCTTGGATTAAATTTTACTTTATAAATTTAACAGATTAAATCCCTTTAAACATTTTACATGATTTGCATTTTATACCATGATG